TTGTGATGACGGTGGAACATGAGAACTGTCGCTTTCCAAAAACCTTTCCAGACCGATATGAAGACGACAGTTTGGTGAAGTGGGTACTTCCATCAGTGCTCTTCTCCACATCTCCCGCTCAAACCGCGTCTGTGTAGGGCAATTAGTCACAAACTCGATTACTTCTCCCCAAAATAGCCCGATAAGACGGTTCGATTTCCGTCGAAATTGGACGGCAAACTCCGTTGCTTTCTCTCAGGCTCGGCTGGCCCACAATTGGATCAGACAAGAGCCGACCGCTGATGAAATTTCGAGCTGGTTGGTTATTCTCCAAATCTGTCAGTTACCCCTCTTTGTAAGTCGACATAATTGTGTTTGCATCCAACACTAAGTGAGTAACGATCCCAATCACATTTTCTTCAATGTTCGACTTTCTATTACAGCCGGACGACTTGAAATTCGATCCGGCGGCCGCCGTTGTCGCATTTTGTCAAACATTTTCTTTTTAGAGCCACGCTCTTTCAAAGGGACGGAGGTTTTACATGCCATGTTGCTGAGGTAGAGAGATAGACATCTCGGACTCCTAATTTTTCCTAATTAGCCCTTTTATGTTACGAGTTGTAGAAAAGCACAGAAAAGGCCAGACAGACGCGGGCTTAGGGGGATTAGGACTATAATACAGGCAAGCCTTACCCTTACAATACCTGAATAACATTCCTACCTGAACCCTCTATTCTGTGAAAATATCATCCCGACTGTACAAGAGTTACATGTAGCGGTTCACGCAAGATCTCAGCTTACCGAGACTTGAAAGAAAAGAAGAAGAAAAAACTTAAGTTCCGGAAGGTTATTGTGATAGTCTGTTGTGTGGTTTAAGAAAAAGAAACATGACTTATTGTACGTTGCGGCTGTGTCTAAAGAATGAAACGTCGAAAGCTCGACTGAAGGTGCACTAACTACTGAATAGAATAATGTATACTACATGTTGACGTTCTTAAACATTCGGTGAGTCATGGGTATATATTTAAAAACTTTTCAGTAGAAAGCGAGGTCTTTTAGAAATATTTTGAAGACGATTTAGAAAAGCGCAGCGCAATTTTTATCAAAATAAAGGTTTTCTAAACCACTGTGAGGAAATACCAGGTGTTAGTCAGAGGTGCTAGATACGTACAGTAAATTGTACGTGATCGCCACTAACGCGAAATGTCGCGTTATTGGAGAGAATCTGTCAGCTTTTGTGTGTAAAAATGCAGGGCGTGTGTGCGTGCCGGCACCCAGGCGGATTGTGACCTGGCCCCTTGATTAAAAATCTGTTTGTGAAGAGAATTTATGGCGCATTAAAGAGTCCACGTAATGGACAAGGCAGGAGACTTACGATGGAAAGAGGTCCCCTGCGCCTATAAAAGGCATTAGGAGGTCATTCCTTTTAATGTGCCCAATTTTCGCTGTTCTATCAAAACAGTTAAGTAACAAGCAAGGAATTATGCTCGGGTAACGGTTCTTTGATCGACTCCACGGCTTCAAGAGTCAATAGAGCAATCTCAGCTCACCCTCAGTCCGAATGCCCCCCCCCCTTCCTTCTGTACGGGTTAGTTCTCTTCCTGTACTAAAGGTGTACGTCCATCTGTCAGATTAAAGCACACCCTTGGCACAGATTTTTCCGATTGCCAATTAGCACCGAGCCCAATGACTTCCGAACGGGCGTATTGAACAACCCGTCCCCGCTAATCACGGAACAAAACCCGAGCATTAACCCAGCCGCTCCCCCGGCGAGCTCGGCCCGCCTGGTACAAAGCACCCTTCCCGGCTATAGGCTCATAAATGTGTGCAGGAATATATCTCCTGTCAACTCGTATTTCCAATGAAAATGTTTTGATTAATTTTTAAGTGGCCTGGAGCGCCCGGATCAGCCGAAATTCCATTTCTAGTAATTACGTTGTGAATAAGTAGAGAGAGTCTGTAGCCGGCAGACGGCGGTAAAAATCCCGACCCAAAATGGTCTATAATTTTTCCTTTAGATCGCGAGTCCTGGATCGATATGGCGCAAATGAGTGGCGATTGGCTAAAGTGTCCGTGTTTTGTATAAGTGGTCATTATGAATTTGTTATATTTTATCTGGCTGTGTCATATTTAGTATGACGCGCCGTGGGTTATTGTTTCTCTGTGTGTGACGCTGTTGTTCTGTGATGTGCATGCGCCCTGCCCAACATTCACTCTCACAACACACACAACGCTTACAGCAAGGCCTCTGGTTTCCAGCTGCCCAACCCCAAATTGTTGAAGGACCTCAAAATGCCAAAATGTAATCTGCGGCAATTAGGCTGAAAAAGGCTGCGAAAAATATGGGCGCTCTGCACTTTAGCGCGGTATTATGGAAATTATGAATTTTAGCATGATAAATCAAATCATCATACGCGACTGGATCGGTTTTATGTTACTTAGTGCGCACGCCAGGGTGATCTAGTGTGTCCGGGGCTGGATGGCAAAGGACGGTTATTGTGCTCATCCTAAACTACCCTAAAAGCGATATCGCTCGACCAAAAAAAAGCCGCGCCATGTATAACATGGCACGGGTGCCCCGGCCCTCTCCCTCTTTCGCCCCGTGGATGAGACAGGCACATTCGTCCACACGACTCCCGTTACCGGCTACAAAAAGACCGAGGTGATTTGGAAAGGGCTGCGGTCGCCCGCTCTTAAGTGAGGTCGGACATCGAAGTTCAACTCATAGAAGGCAACAAATTTGTGGCAATGGAGTCAGAATGGCCGGCGACATGCCCCGCTGTCCATTAAGGAAAGACAACGCTATATGAGCGCTGTTGACCCCCTGACATCGCTGTGGACTAAGTGGTGGAATAAAGGAGTGGTGCTTAGTGGAGTGGGGAGTAGCAAATTGGGTTGTGCTCTTACGTGTTGTGTTCTACCGCTGCTGATGGCCTCTAATGGGCACTAGCTTGACCTCCCAGTACAGAGACAACTCCTTTCTTCCCGGCCTGCTATGCTATCCCTGACCACCAATTACCTTTCGGTATGACCGCGACCCCCGGGCATTTTCCTTCAGCCCCCAACGCTACAACTAATACTTGGTCGTCTGCGTATGTACCCAGAGCGCTGTCCGGTCCATCTTTTTCTTGGAAAAACAAGAAATTTAAAGAAATAAATATATATATATAACTCGTTTAGGGTACAGACGAATGAACAATAACCCAGCATACATTTAGGATGATAGACTGCGGTCCGCGGCGAGTTCGGTCAGAGCTTCGGTCAGTGTGCACACCAGCTCGAGTTTTCGTTATAGACAAAATCCCCTGTCGCAAGTTCATGTACACATGCAGAATAGGCTGAAAAAGATATTTCCATCTATCTCTCGAAAAATATGTTGTGTGCGATATGGTGCAAACTAAGAGGTCACCTGTATTTGAGCGCAGTCAAAACCAACCATAGCCTCAATCCTCGATGTTTTGCTGACCAAGAATTGATTTCATTCTTAAGCGTATTCAGAAAAGAAAAGAAAGGAAAGGAAAGGAAAGGAAAGGAAAAGAAGATAAGAGAATAGGCCTAGGATAGGTAAGACGTTTTGGTTTTGTGTGTACCACTTAATATGAGTTTCTGTCGTTTGCATGATTACGGTATTGCCTATCATTTCACAGATTCAGTCATACAAAGTAGATTCAGTCAGTCATTTCGAGTAGTATGTTGACAAATTACATTAATTGCTGTATCCGGCACCATAATAATCTTCGGTAAGAAAAAAGCACGGTGTTGAATAAGCTACTTAGTGGTGATAATCAGTTGTCACTGTTTACACAACCTTGAACCGTTTACACTACATATGCCTCAGTGGGTCCTGCAAGTAAGGGAATCGGCCGTTTGTTTTTGTTGTTTTAAAACTACCATAAAGCCTTGAGAAACAGTAACGTTTGTTCTGGGAGGATTTGCATTGTGGAGTGTGGGAGAAATGGTTTGTTGTGTGTACACAAAGGAGAATCGTGCGACCGGCGCGTGCGGAAAGTGTTCCCGGTGGGCCTGGCGATTATTCCCGCCTGGCTCGGCCCACCTGTCCCGTCCCCCCCGCTGGGCGCTCCCTACTCTCTCACACTACAGCCAGATTAGCTTCGCCAGCTTTCCTTTCCACACACAACCTTGGCTAAGTGATTTCCACTATCAAAGTGGGATAAAGGTTGGAGCTGCCGAGGATTTTTGGTTTTAAATAATATATAGCATGCAGCCGCCGTATTAACCAGCAGCAGAGAGCGGGAGTCGGCTCTCTGTACTGATATAAACATATATATAAACATATATTTCAACACTTACAGGAACAGAGGAAAAAATCACAAGATTTTGAGGGGGATAGTAAAAATATTGTAAAAGACTGGGCGTTTGTAGAATACAGGAGAATGGTATAAAACAGAGCTACAGACGCTGTAGAGAGGTGGAGATTTTTCTAGCTATCCAGAAAGGCCACCAACGATATCTGAGTCAAAACATGAAACGGCAGCCGTGCTATCAATTCATCCACTTTGTTCTTTATTCAATTCAAGCTTCACGGTATTATGTACAAAATGCAGTTGAAGTGTCCATGAGATAGACCGGCGCCGGCGCTATTTTTCAAATCGCACCGGAAAGCCTTTTTCTGAGCAGGGGAAATAGCAAGAACATAGAGCCGATCGCGATATCCAGACTAACGACATATGTATCATACCTTATGTACACAAAATATACAGCAATATGAACGAGATTAATAAGCCTAGAGAGGAGTATATTAGTATATCCAATAGCTTGTATGGCAATTGAATTACATTTGCAGCCTTTTAACACGATCTCTACGGGATTCCGTGTCAGCATCGGTGCAAACAAGCACAGTGAACAGACTCCATTGCCCCTAATGTACATTTAATCAAGCCCTCCCCGGGCGATATCTTTCTCTCCCTCTTTCTCTCATTCACGCACACACACACACACACACTCTCTCTCTCTTTCTCTTTCTCTCTCTCTCACATACACACACACTCACTTATTCACAAACGCACGCACACGCACACACACATACATACATACATACACACACGCGCGCACGCACACACACACATGACAGTTATGGTCTCACAAAAAAGCCGACTACATCTCGCCAAAGTGGCATTAAAAATTCAGGAGTAGAACCGAACGCATGATTTCGACAAGGAAACAGTTAAATCACGGCATCAATCCGACCTTTCATCTCAGGCTGAACAATAATGTCGGGATGTTTTGCGGTTGGGTAAGTGATTTTCAATTGAGTCACTGTACACGGGGCTGGTGGGGAACCTTAACATCTTCCCGACGAGAAAACGCCACAAAATTAACACGATTTTCTCAGCAAAACAAACACGCAACGTACAAAACTAAGAATTCTTAACATATTGCACACACTAGAGAATATATATGTATATATATAATATGTATATAATATCCAGATGCACGGAAAATCTGATCAGGTTTTCATATAGAAATCTGATGGGCATGTACAAGATGGTTCGCTATTCACAGGGCTTGGATGAGTCCGTATCATACTAAGCTTGGCATGGGTGGCCTGAGCGCGGGAAACTGGGCAGCCAGGGAGGGGCTGTAGTGGGGGACGGGGTGGGGGTAGGGGAGCACGGACGCGGGGTGGGATAGGGGCGGGTTTTCGCCATGCATGTGTCCGCTATCGTGGTACAGAATGGGTACACGTACCATCCTCTGGGCCGCGTGCGCCATGTTAGCGGCCTCCAGTTCAGCGGCCAGCTGCCTCTTCCATTTGTTCCTGCGATTTTGGAACCAAATCTTGACCTGTGTCTCGGTCAGGTGCAGGGAAGCCGCCAGCCCCGCCCGCTCCGAGCTGCTCAGGTACCGCTTCATGTCGAAGGTCGACTCAAGCTGGAAGACCTGCTGTCGTGAGAACACTGTACGAGTCTTCTTCTTGCGTCGGTTCTTCTTGTCCTTTGCTTTCTCGTCGTCGTCCTTCCCGCCGCCGTCCGCCGGCCCAGCTTCACCTCCCGCCCCGCCGCTGTGGACAGTGTCCTTCCCTGAGCTGGCGGAGTCTTTGGACTTGGCCGGAGACTGGGCCCGACAGGACGGGGTCGCCGCCGTGCCTGTGGACGCGGGAGGACGGGTGGAAGGCGGGGTGGCTGCGACCGAACCTGCAGCAAAACACGGTCAACACGAGCCGCATTAGATCTAACTGACAACAGATGGTCTACAAATCTACCATTTTCCCCGCTACGTTTCTGACCCATTCCCGTACTTATCTACTTTGTAGGAACATTTCATGGCATGTTTCAGACCAGATACGATCTTTCCGAGAATTTCCAACCCCTAACGGCTTTTATCGTTGGAATGCACTGAAGGTAAAGATCACAACACACGCTGTAGTTGACAGGTGGAAAGGCGCAGACTATGCTCCCAAATAAATGTAACATCTTCAACACGTTCTGTGTCTTTAAATCAAGAATGTTGATTCCAACACTAGTGAACTGTCAGGATCAAAATCACGGTGAAAAATGAAATGCTAGAAATACGTTCTTAGAGAGCCAGCATGTAAAATGGTTGAAAGATTGAACGTTACACTTACGTTCGAAGGGGTAGTGTGTGGGATACAACCCTGTCTGGATCCACGGGAACCAGGAGTTGCCGGGTTTGTAGAGAGAAGAGGCGCTGGACACGATCTGAGCGTCCCGCCCGATGGGCTCGTCTTCCCCCTCGTCCCCGTCACTTGCCGGAGAGGGCGGCGGAGATCTCGATCCCAGGGTGTCTTTTGCAGTCGCGTCGTCTGCAGCAACCTGTCCGGGTCTGCTCACGGGCGAGTGGAGTTTAGAATTGGACTGCTTCGTTTTCGGTGAGTTCAAGATGTTTTCGATAGAGAAGGGGTTGTTGGAGCGACAGTTAGTGTTATTACTACTCGATGTGACGGTAGCCGTGGTCGGCGAACTGTCTTCCCGGTCGCTGGCCATGTTATTAGCGCTGTGGTGTTCCGTACGTGCGTAAGTCTCGGGCGAGTTTCACCGTGTAGCGTGCACTGCGGGAGTGTGGCTTGTATGACCGGGTACAGGTGCCACTGTAGAGCGGCCTGTCTCTGCAAGGTTGTCCTGTAAGCGTCCGCGCGTTCTGGACCGGTCGTTGCGATCGAGTGTGAGTGTGAGTGACTACCGTGCACTCCAGACCTCAACCCACCCTTAATACGCCCGGGGCCCTCACGGAGTCGAAATGGCGCCGTCCACCAGAGATAACAATAATAACGTCTAAATAAATGTGTCAGGCAAGTTAAATGCTTGACAACTGAAAACGACTCGGTGATTGGACACACACAATAGATAATGGGATTAAGAAGAAAGAAAAGCTCAAGTGACCACACCTCTCAAATCTTGAACAATGGGGACGGGCGGTGGAAAACCCCTCTTATTGGGCGATCCCAACAACCGGTTCTCCCTCCCAGCGGCTGACGTCGACAGGGCGAGGGGTCTCTTACACGCAATTGGCTGTTGATCACCGATTGGACAATTATAGTGTTGTTTTTCCTAATGCCATGCCATATTCATCACCACTGGTCCCCAGCCTGTCCGTTAAACACTGGGCTCGTTAGTATGCATCTAGCTGGAGGGGGACAAAAAACACCGGTAACCGATCCGTTGTCTCTCACGTGTAGCTGGAACAGACCACGGAGAACGACAAGAAAATCCATCGCCACCCCACCGACAACGGAGGAAAACTTGTGGGCCAGCCCGCTCGACAGAAACGTCTGTCAGGAACACAAGACAACCGCTGTCTGCGGCCAACTTGTCGCCTATATATAGTAGCTGAACGATATTCCAATCTATATATAACAGTTATAAAAGTTATATCAAGTTATATATCTATATCTATATATAGCTATATGGCCGTAGAATATTTGTGATTTATATGATACCGAAAACAGGGTTGTACTGCGATGTCTACTTTCGTATTCTTCGCTTCCGTCGTGAATCACATTGTCGAAAACATGTTTTGTCGCCACAACGGCATGTCTCCAATGAACGGTAACAACTCTCGGTATGCAGAGGTGTTATAGATGTCGCGGCCATCACAGAGGGTTTTTTTGCTGCCCTCTATTCTATAGTCTGGGGAGAGGTTTTGACTTTACAACGTGCTACAGTCTGTGGTCGGGTCCTGATGCGCGGGCTGCCCTGTCCTCACGCCGCCGAGCGCACTTAAACGGCCATGAAAAGAAGTGTCTTAAGAGGTGGCGAGACCTCCGAGCAGGTAATGCGGTGCTTTAAGGCGAAATTTCACGCAATCATGTAGCAGCCCTCCGCGCATTACGCCTAACCTCGTGCTCTTCACGCCCGCGACGGCAAGGAGTCAGCGGGATATGTTCTTTTTAAATACACTTCAAGGCGACATGTAACGACTTTGCTGTATGGAAAGGTTACAAAAGTCAAAGCCGCTTAGGACGCCAAAAGTCCCTCTATTGCCAGTATTTCTCATGTAGGGCCATTTTCGTATCGCATCGAAATCGCTTGGGGACGAATAAACTCATTAAGGGCTTGACATTAGCGGAAGTACATCTGAAAATCACCATCAAGATCATTAATCTTCTTTACTTAGGGGTTGTGCCGTGCTTCTGAATGGAGTCTAAGGATAACACGAAACAATGAAGGAAGAGGATGATGACAAATGGGGCCGTCAAATCGGCCATTAGGACCTGTGGCTGCTAAATAGCTCGGCGGTCGGCGGAGGTCCGCACTGCCGGCCAGGGACTAGCTCGCCGCCTCGGCGCGGCCTAGTTCTTGGCGGGGCCGCACTAGTGGATCAGAGAGTGGTGCGCCCGGGGCCCTCCCGTGCGACCGACTACCGGGGTTCACGGATTGCCACCTTGTAACGTTGATCGCGTGGCTGCCAGCTAATATCGCGGATAACCGGAGTATGACCCATAATCTTCCCAGGTCACTCCCTTCTATCGGAAAAGAATACGAATGAATAGTTTATAACAACGGCCCCTGGCAAGCCGGACAATATGTGCAGCCAGGCAAACACCACCAAATGGCATGCCAGAAAAGCGCGCGCGGGTGTGGGATTTAACTTTCATATCCCTGGATGTGATTTCGCGATGGTCAAACTCATACATGAAAAATAATGATCCATCCTCAAGCGGTAAATTTGGGCGTGCTCCTCGGGATATGGAGCCGTTTGGTGCTAAATGGTCGGCGTGATGTGCAATTATTGGCGGCTATTATAAACATGACGTATCACCGCGGGGCACCAGCCGTTCAAAATGTATGCAAACTAAAGGTGAGTGATGTGTGTTCGGTACGGTCCATCATGCAGGGGTAGCCGGGCGGACTGTACGGGGAAAGGATCGGGCACACGTCCACTTTTACACATAGGAACAGCTAAGAAACAAAACTCATCAAACGGACGATATGTGTAAAGAAAAAAAAAACAGAAACGATTTTTGAAAAGCAAAACAAATTTGATAATAAAACAGTGTAGCTCCTCTAAATTGTAGAAATAAAAAAAGGATATACGTTAAGAATAATATGCTGCTTTAAGTTTAATTTTTCTGTCATCAAATTCGTAATAAATTGGGCATCAAACTGATATGATATCCACAAGGTTACCAGAAGTTTAATGCTGCGCGCCATTTTCTTTGTTTTCAACTTGATGAATACAGAAATAACTAACGTAATATATATGTGTGGCAAGACTTCTACGTTCTAACGTTGCGTTTCTAAATGTAACAACCCGGGTAAAACCTGAATCATGCCTGTGATTTTTTTTGTGCAAGTTATTTACTGTTTTCTTGTTGTTTATTACTTCTGACTGTATTTGGTTTCTAACAGTTCCCGACGTTCAGGAAAATCAGAACATGATAAAATTTAATAATCCATAAATACGCCAGCCAAGAAACCTCCTACGGGGGCTACCCTGTGCCCGTTTCTTACAAACACAAGTAGAACATTCTCCGCACGTTGGCTTCTCTCTCCAGACGACTTGAGTTGGTCGGTTTGATGACTGCTATCATACCGTCGTTACCGGTAGTGTGTATATCGGTGGCAAATCGTATGGGTGATCCTGGCGCTGGTTCCACCCGACACGGCGGTAAGTGGGGAGAGAGTGTCGGCGGAGAATTAAGCTCGCCTGCCGCCTGGTAATTGGACGATAATGGAGTGTGAACCGACCCCAGCAGATTTCCCATTTGACTTTGATGAGGCAGTGATTGAGTGTTCTGACCTCATCTATTTAGCGAATAAAACCGATTGGTTGGGCCTCTTTAATTGTTAAAACTCTGGAAATGGTGAAACAGAGGGATCGCATTACACCGGGAAGAATCCAAACGCCCGTGTACAACAGGGGGACCCGTCTCGTGTCAGAAGTGAAGAAAAAGTTACACAAACCGGGAAAATATCTGGTTACGTCGCCGGTAAATGGTCAGTCTACGGGGGCCGGGGTATCGAGAATGGATTTGCCGAAGTTTAAGTACGGATTTAGCCATATAAACAGCCGCTATTAAGTAGGCCACTTTGCTTTCATGATGAATCTGTCAATTTCACAGGCCGTTAGTCTTCTCCTGCACATGCTAATGGGTATTTGGGCTGGCACTGAATCCAAATCACACATTAATACAGCAGCTGCAATTGGAAAAACAATATCCCCAGTTAAGATTAATGGCTGGTATCAAGAGAGGCTGATATAGGCACCAAACTGGGCGCAATGTGCCGGTTACAAATGTCAACTTTAATCAGACAAGTCTGATATTTAAAGTACCGTGTTGGTCTGGCACGAAACAATGCCAATATCGCGCTACATCACTCTGGCCTCATTTTTCCATAAATAAGCTCGGCGGGCTTTCAGGGGGAGATTTAGAACACACATAAGAACAAACGGGCGATAAACGGCACGTTCTTTTCATTTTCCCTCCGAGCTTTGGTCCATTTCTAGGTTCTGTACGGGTGGTGCGGAGGTCATTGTGAATACATTTATATATACATACATTATATATATATATATAAATGATTTCATTCTCTCATTTATAAAAACTCGGATAACATGGTTACAAATTTTCTGATGTTTTAGTTACCTCGATGAAAAATGGAGGTTATATTTTGGGCAGTGTTGTATGTGTATTCGTGTATATGTGCGTGTGCATGCGTGCGTGCGTGCGCGCGCATGTATATGTGTGTTTGTTTGTTTGTTTGTTTGTTTGTTTGAGTGTGTGTACATAAGTGTGTGTGAGTGTGTGTGTGTGTGTGTGTGTGTTTGCGTGTGTGTGTGTGTGTGTGTGAGTAAGTGAGCGTGTGTGTGTGTGTGTTTGTGTAAGTGTAAGTGTGTGTATATAAGTGTGAGTGAGTGAGTAAGTGTGTGTGTGTGTGTGTGAGAGAGAGAGAGAGTGAGTGAGTAAGTCAGCGCTCGCGCGTGTGTTTGTGTGAGTGTGTGTGTGTATATAAGTGTGAGTGAGTGAGTGAGTGAGTAAGTGTGTGTGTGTGTGTGTGTGTGTGTGTGTGTGCGTGTATGTGTGTCTTTCACTCCCTGAATGAAGTTAATTTTACGGTGAAGGTAGTCTCAAAGCTTTTTTCAGGCCATATGGGCAGTCCACTGTGTGGATTAACAACCCAGTAATAAAATTTGCTACGAATATAATACAGATTAATTTCATTAGTTTTTTGTAATATTTAGTCGTCTTAGAAAGTGATTGGAAAAAAGTTTCATGTGCCCAATGATCTGGCGATAGAGTAGCTAGGGCGCATGCGCTCTTCAGCTTTCCCAGCATGTGGGAAATTCTGGTGCGAGATTCCAAAACGGCGTCATTTTTATATTTCGTGAATTCAGGTGAAAATTCCAGAATTCAGATTGTTTCATGAAATATAATAAAAAGAATTAATTTTGTGACCTTCAGTTCATGTGCTATAACACCCCCCCCC